AGTACATGGACCAAGTTCACGTCAAAGTTTGACACCAATGCCCATTTTTCCACCTCTTACAGCTTGGGCTTGTGACGTGGTAACTTCCCTACCCAGAACTCCTCGTGGAAATGTCTGTATGCTAGTCGTGTGCGACTAAGGCTCACGCTGGGTAGAGGCCTTTCCATTGCAAGATCAGAAAGCAGAAACTGTAGCTTCAATTCTGGTTTCGGAAGTTTTCTATTTAATTTTTAATAAATAAATTATTTATTTTCAGACAAATTCTGCCTTATGAGTCAATTTTTTTATTATGGTTTTTCTGAGGACTAGGGTCTTTTTGCTGCAAAGTCGATATTTCCAGCCCCATTATATTTTTCCATATGCCATATTGCTCTATTATTGACACTTTATTTTCTGCATAATCGCCAGAAAGGAGAGGGAATTAGTTGCCCACTCATGGAGAGATCTACAGTTCCTGTTCCTGATCCTGATCCTGATCCTCAACTGGCAGTTCTTCCAGTAACACCTTCAACATCCTCTGCTCCCCAACGCCCTTCAGCCCTTATGCTTTTTGTGGGCCACTCCTTTGCCAGGAGGGTTCACACTCATGCATGCAACCACAATGACCCGGTTTGTCGTGGGCTCCTGCATCCTTCGGTGGCCGTCAGGGCCCTCTCTGGTGGAAGGATGACAGACATCTTGCATGTGGCCACGAATCTTTTGGATCTACATGCAGGGGCCAAAATTCTCTTTGTTCATGCGGGAGAAAACGACATTGACCAAGATCGCCCCAGTCAACATCCCCCAGACTATTCACAGACCTTCCTTGAAATTCAAGATAAAATTAATTCTTTTCTTGCAACCTCCCCTCCAAATGTCAAAATTTGCTTCTTGCCCCCCTTTCATAGATACAAATGGCCATTTTTGTCGGCCACTCCTTTGCCAGGAGGGCTCACACTCATGCATGCAATCACAATGACCCGGTTTGTCGTGGGCTCCTGCATCCTTCGGTGGCCGTCAGGGCCCTCTCTGGTGGAAGGATGACAGATATCTTGAATATGGCCACGAATCTTTTGGATCTGCATGCAGGGGCCAAAATTCTCTTTGTTCATGCGGGAGAAAATGACATTGACCAAGATCGCCCCGGTCAACATCCCCCAGACTACTCTCAGACCTTTCTTGAAATTCAAGATAAAATTAATTCTTTTCTTGCAACCTCCCCTCCAAATGTCAAAATTTGCTTCTTGCCCCCCTTTCATAGATACAAATGCCTTCCTGGTGCCGAAATCCAAAACCAAACCTTATATGATGTCTATATGACACGTGTGTATAGATTAAAGGATATATATTATCAGGCTAGCCTTCAACACCCAGACAAAGTGGTCCGTATGGACACACTAAGGCTCACCTCTCTGCAATATGACACGCGTGTATAGATTAAAGGATATCTATTATCAGGCTAGCCTTCAACACCCAGACAAAGTGGTCCGTATGGACACACTACGGCTCACCTCTCTGCGGAGAACATTTGCTGGGGATGGAGTACACTTGAACAGTGAGGGCTTTCACCGGTATGTTCAGTAAATCCTACGACATGCCCGGCGTATATTGGGAGAGAGGTGGGCTCAGTAATTTTTCAAGGGCAAATTAATTGTTCCAAACTTGTAACTCTTGCCTTTTTTTAGGAACGTTCCTTACCTATGGGTGGATGTTTGTGTTCAATGCCTCTTCCATCCCAGAAGTAGGACGTGCCTAATAATTTTTTTTCCCCATTTTCTGCCCACATATCTCTTGATTAATATCATATCTCTGGTTCTGCTGGATTTTGGCGATTAACAACTATATACATATACCCCTGTTCCTTTGTCTACCTGGAACCTAGATTGCTCCTCAGAAATAGGAAATTCCTGATAGTAATTTTTTTTCTCCACTCCCTCTTGACTTCATTGGCCAACATTGCTTTCTGGATGGATAGCGCCCTGTTGTCATGTCGTCAATAGACAGGCTGTGCAGAATTTTCGGTATGGCAATTTGTGCCATCCTGGTCCGATTGTTTTTTTTTCCATTGTTTTTTTTTTGGCAATCCATTTTTTTTCCTTTTGTAAGGAACTGCCTTCATTTGTTTTGGCAGGTTCCGCTATGTGCTTCATTGGGCACTTTTTGTATAGTAATATGGAATGTATAATCCTGAATTATTTTTTTTGGGTTCCTCTCTCCTTGGCTATGGCCAAAGTGATGGCAATTTTTGTGCCATATTCTTGAATGTTATATGATATGTTGTGATATGTTCTCAAGGAATTACTTCATGTACTCTGTCATCTTTGTATTCAAGTTAATCTCAAGTTTGCAACTATGTGATATTTTGAGTATTAGTGAATCTAAATTGTTAAACCTAATCATTTTTCGGGTCTATGTACCTTTGTTATTAACTACATTTCTTGGAATCTCACGTAGCCTGTAATTTTCTTTGGTAATTTTTCTAAATTTGAGGAAAAATTTATTTTTAAGGAGGGAGGAGTGTCGTTTGAGTAAATTATTGAGTAAATTCGAATATAACTTTAATAGAGCTTCATGGCTCCCGCGGGACATTATTTTGTTCGCGGCCCTGCATGGGTTCTGCCCATGACAGGGTTGGGCCCGCATAGCCCTCCATTGTTTTGCTGGGGGTGTGACCTCTCCTTTCCGGCCACGCCGTCTTTTCGTTTTTCCGTCTCGCGTGTGGTCCGGTGTCGTCCGTCGGGAGAGTTCGTCTGAGGCAGTCCTTCTTGCCAGCCGTGCCTGTAGCCTTTCTGTTTGGTTTTCATTCGGTTGCCCTGCCTGCAATCTCCGTTGCCGTCTGTCGCTGTGCCGTCGATCGCCCTGCCTACTAAAGACTCTTAAGACCTCTTCAAGACCTCCTCAAGACCCCAATTAACATCTGTAATATTTATTCTTTTCTCTTAATTTAACTTTATTAAAAATATTTGTCGTCCTTGTTGTTTGAACACCGTTTTATTATTTGTCATCAGTCGTCTCCTTAGACGGCTTGTCATGTCTGTGGAGTGAGGCCAGGACCCTTTCTTTTGCCTCCGATTAACCGCTCGTGCTAAATTGTCTTTCTCTTCTTTCGGTTTAAAGTTAACGTTAAAAGTCCTCTTTTGAGGCCCTCCACACGACAACTCTATCCACCCCGCGGATCTCTTCCCTTCTTCCTCTTTCTAACGCCCCTTAACAACATCACGCGACGGCAGTGGTTTTTTTTTTTCTGTCGCGCGAGCACCCCCTGCACTCTTCCTTTCTCAGCAAAAAAAAAAAAAAAAAAATTCAGGTCCTCTCCCACTCCTTACCTTGCGGCCTAATCAGACATCACTTTTCACTTCCCTTTGCATGAACCTTAGGAAAAGCTCTGCACAGACCTCTAATAACCCCCCCCCCCCCTTACCCTTGTCACCAGGGCGCCTGATAAGGCCCTTCCGGCCAGCTGACACCTAGAAACATCTTTCATTCTAATGGGGCCTCTATCCCCTAACTCACCTCCGATAAATGTTAATGTTTCAATTAAAAACGGTAAATACACTAGATCAAGGGTGCCCAAAGCGATGGCGTGGGGGCCACCACCGAGGGTAACCCTGCACTAAAATAAACTCACGTAATTGCTAGGGCACAACTCTCCTAACCTATTAACAAGTGGATCTAAAGTTAACCAGCCCCTCGACTCACTAACCCATTAAAGTATAGGGTGATTCTCAGTAAAAGGCCGCTCTGCCTTTCGACATATCTAAAATGTAAAGGCCAAAGCCTGAAAACGGGAGCGATCCAGGCGCGAACCCAAACAGCATCATTATGTTAATTTTACGTAAAATGAATGTAAATTTTTTTGTCCATTTTATATCATTTTTACGCAAACCATTGTCAAGAAAATGTCAACATGTTTGCAGAAATGTGACCTCTGTGATACGTAAACGGTGATATAAATTTAACGGAAATTTTACGCAAAATTGACATTCCCGTTTGCATTCCAAACAGCATGTTTACATTCACTTTATGTAAGGTTTATATTAATTTTCCTCTGCCATTCATGCGTATTTAAAGAGTCAATCAGTAACTGCTTCATCTGCGATAGTCTTGAGTATGTTCATCGCTGAGATTTTCCTAGGTATATTCAGAAGAAAAGGATTGTGGACTTGGAGGATGTGATCAATGCCATCTTGGGCTCGGTTGTCGCCGTCACTGCTGGCTGCGCTTTCTACGAGGTATGCGTTAGAAGATATTTCGATTCTAAGGTACAGACAGAGGAGAAAAAATGCGGAATTCGATTGAATGTAAGAGAGCAGCACAGGAAAAGCAACAGGATGAGAAGGAATGAAAGAAAAGTAAAATTGAATTAAGGTAGTTCACTGTGAAAGAAAAATAGGATACGGTTTATTTAAAAAAAAAAATTACCATGCTATGTAAAGTTTCATCTTTCCTTGCATAGCATATGATTCATGTATTGTTCATCCTTTCGAATCGTGGGTCGAGAAAGATTAGCAAAGGAAGAAATTATGGTGTGAAGCAACTCTGGGACAATAGGGAACAATGTATGATTAACAAGGGAAGAGGGAGAGTAAAGAAGGAAACCAGTGGCGAGGCTTCCTTTCCTGGACGTATGGTTTCATTCAACATTATTTCTTCTTAATCTGACCTCTATGAAATTCCTAACTGTATCCAGCTGTTATATATTGCTATTTCACGTTAAAGCAGATTCACTCCGCGCAGCCACAGTTCAACGCGAAAATTTTTATTGATATTTAGAGGGTTCCCCACTTGATAGGTTTTTTCTTTCCCTTTTTCTTTCCCAGCCGTGGGAGTCGCTAATGGTGGGTTTCCTGAGTGGCATGGCGGTTGTCCTATTTTTCCCCCTCTACGACGTGCTTCGAATCGACGATCCTGTCGGATCCTTCGCCGTCCACAGTAAACTGAACCAGACTTTTAGAGTTTTCCTTTATACCTCGTCAGTGGACAGGCATAATAGATTTTTGCTTGCGCAGGTAGTGGAAGTGCTGGTTCGATACTGCTTGAGGGCAAAGTGGTATGCCCAGTTTCAGCCCTTAAACCAGCTTCAAAGATTTGTCTATATTTCTAGAGGCCGTCCTTAGCTAAACCTAAAGAATGTATTTTTTTTTCAAATCTGAGCAATTTTCAAAAAGTTCAACTAGGTGAAGAACAGGTTATGTTAGCCATTTTTTGCCTTAAACCGAATTTGATTAATATTTATGTCATCGGTTTCACATGTGAACATGAATTGTACATGTTCTATCCAAATGTAAAGCGTTTCAAAAGTTAGGTTAGGTTAAATTATTTTCCTGTTTTCAAATAGGACCTCCGATAATAAATGCCTTCCGCTTAGCCAACAACTTAGAACATAATTTTGGAAGTAATCGGTGAACTTTGGCTGGGTGTTGGAAAATCTAGCAAAAAACTTTGAATGTATGATTCGTTACATAAAATTTAATGATTTGTCGATACATTGTGAAATTTCACAGAACACAATTTAATTGTATTTTAATTGATTTATTATTGATAGTCTGCATTTCCCTTCCCTCAAAACTGTTAAAGTAACTACTCCAGAATGGAGTAAACGTGGTACTTTATTACTTTGCAAAGAACACCGCCTCATGTGATATATGATTCATTGAATTCGGTTTAAGGACCAAAATAACATTATGCTGGGCATCCTCCTTTGGTGTGTATAATGAAAAGTAAAATCAGAGCAGCACTGATTTTAGGATATATTAACAGACTTCTTTTTGCCAAATATAGAGCCATAGAAACAAACGAATACGCTGTTACTCTTCTCGTTAGAGCTACAGGAAATCAAAGATCTCAATACATTGGTTTTTTTTTAGGAATCGGTGGACTGTCTGGGACGTTGTGCGTCGGGATTTTCATAAAACGGGACACTCTCTTGAAGTTGGTTAAATACAATGGACTCATTCACGGTGGGGGGTTTTATCTGCTGGGGATTCAGGCTCTGGGTGTCCTCAGCATTACTGTCTGGAACGCACTCACCACCTTCATCTTCCTGAAGGTCTTTCTTCTCATTCTGCTTTGTATGCATTATGTAGGCTTATTTGCACCATTCAAAGTATATCTATGAATGGGCTGGTTGATGCGCAGGCGGAGAATCTGGTGATTCCGATCCGAATGAAGTCTTACGAAGAAATTCTGGCTGCAGACTTCGTGGAGCACAACATCCGACACGCGGGGATCGATTACGACGTGATCATGAAGGCATTGGAATCACCGGGACATGTCATCAAAGAGCCTTGGTGCCACTCCATCCATCCCGAACTTCAGGTACTTCCCTCAAGAACCGTCCTCGTTCCAGTCTCTAATTTCGGCCAGATGATCCAGAATAAAAATTCGACGATATCCCAGAATTTCCTTTTCATTTAGCTCATCCACAATTATTTCCGGGAATGAAATAAAAAAAGTGCCCTCATCACTGTTAGTGTCAACCCTAGAGTGATCCCAACCCAACCTTGATGAATATACTCTCCTACGCATCGCCCCAAGTAACACAAGATATTCCAACAACGTTTAGGAAATGTTGATGAGCAATGTTGCATCTATGTGTAAATGTCCTAAACGTCAACGTTGCTCAAATGTTGCGAAGGAACATTGCATTGACGTTGCAAGTCGTTACTTATTCTTTACATATACGTTGCAGAAACGGTTTAGAATTTATGTTGCTGCAAAGTTCATTAAAAACTATGCTTAATTGGCACCTAATCAGGGCCTATATTGGCATTACGGAAAAACATAGGCTTCACTGGTCCTGAAGTGGACCGATACTCGACCAATATTGAAATATTTATTTCATCATTCCGTACAATATACTTTACCTCTACTCAGGCATTCCCATCAACAGGACGAAGCCTGTACTGGTATAAGCACTACCCATGCATTATACAGTATTTGTATCATGTACAGGCAGGAGTCATAGGACATTTTTCGAGGTGATCTTCCCCTGTAATGTGCCTAATATGGCACATAAAAAGAAAAGGTCCGACAGCCGTGTTCTTTGGAGTGTCCATGAAATCTGTCCGTCTTTTCCTCATCTAGTTCTCAGGATGAGGATATGAACGATTGAGGTCACTCTCTGCCATCGTTTTTATTATAATGCAGGATGCAATGGACGAGTTCTTAGAAAGGGTTATTTTTGGGAATAAGAGCTTCTTTATCTTGACCCCAGGAATCTGTCTCGAATATGAAGATAACAAGTGATGATGTGTCCGTGTTCATTGATTCCTATAATGAGACAATGCGAGACATTTGGCAAGGTACTAAACATTCCCGTGCGGGACGAGAACAGGGAAAGGAAGAACGGCACTTTTGTGCACTGGGAGAAAAGCGCGACCTACGTCTCCATCTCGTGGCAAGGAGGACGACTTTTCCATTCCTAAAACTTCTGTCATTGTTTTATCAGAATGTTGTCACCACTTTGTCGATGTCAAGAGTGTCAACATTCTCTCAATGTTGATAGGAAATGTTGCAATGACATTCGTAGAAGTGTCGTAGCAACATTCTACAGTAAGTGAAACCACCGAAGCATTTATTTATTTATTCATAGGAATCCTATAGAGTTTTTTTTTTACTGATCCTATAGGATTCGTATGGGGTCCTATAAGATTCGTATAGAATCCTATAAGAATCCTATAGGAATCTTATAAGAATCCTATGAGAATTTTGTTTGAAAATTCTTATAGGATCCTATAGGATTTTTCCGTGGGGGTTATTCCCTCAATAATAAGGTCATTGTCCATGCATCCATGCAGAGATACTCCGATTTTGTTCAACCCATTGTTTTGTTGGCATTCCTTCTTAAGGTCTTTGGTTACTTGTTTAAGAGAGGAATTCCCTATCTGATTAATTTTTCTCCATGTTCTGCAATAACTTGTTTAGCATTGATGAACAATTGTTTAGCATATTCAGGAAAGGTGTAGCCGTGGTTAAAAAGGATCACCGAAGCGAAGCCTACAAATGCCCTATTAAAATGGGGGAAAGTCGCGGTTCTTCACTTTAATTACCAGTCTGATTCATATTCGCGGATAAACCAATCAGTTATGTGTGTGGATTTTCATTCCAATTGTGCTTTCCTGCCGACTTCCTAGCCGTTAAGATATGAGGTAAGGAAATGCATGATCAAGATTATTCATATTAATTATTAAACAAAGCAACGCTTTCATAGCGAACCTTCATATCTAATCCTAAATTTCTGCATTAGCTATTATTGCTCGTCATGACATGCAAAATTGCCGTAATTCTCAAGTTCTCTGCAAATCTGGCCTATAGCGAGAGTAAAAAAAAGTGCTATTGCGAGCATTCTGGATTTCGTGGTCTTCAATTTGGTGCATCGCGAGTGCCAAAGTTGTCTCTGTCTTGCTCCCATTGCCCAACAACTTCCACTCTCGAAGAAGTTTGCAGCAAATGGCAATTACATTCGAATCCAGACTCAAAAGGATTCAGAGTCCTCGTACCTTTGTATATACGTTTCGATCTAAATCCGATTTTAGGTTTTTGATCAGCCATTCCCATGTGATTCCAGCATCAGGCAGCAATGAAGGAATGGTTTGTGAACCTGAAGACGACTGGGCGGATCTCCTCCGCGACGGGGGAGGTGAAACCCTCCGGCGGGAGCAATAGAGAGGAATGGAAGGATGAGGTGGGGAAATTCTACGACGTGGAATGGAGTGTCCTTCGCAGTCCTGTAGCCTCTCCAAGGAAATAGATGTTCTTCTGCCCCTACCTACCGGTATATCCCTGTCCTTACTACTTCCTAAGATGAAGGGAAAGGACACGGAGTCAGAGATGATCCAGAAATCGGTTAATCCTCTAGTCACTTGGTGTTTTCCCCCCTCTTCGCTCTAAATAAGAAAATGTACTGAAGAACTGCAACATCCCCCCGCGGGCTGGTCAGACCTTCACTGTCACAGCATCGGGAAGATCCCATGGCAGCCGATGCGTCAATGCGACAGGCAAAGCTAATGCGGTTGGTTCTAAGAAGACCGAAAATGGCCAATCACCATCGTCATTCGAAGCGTCGCACTTCACTCAAACGATGTTCGAGCATTTCCACATTTGCAATATTGCGCAGAATATTGTCATTCGGGAAATTTTCCCTATTTAGGTCATATCATTCCTCGCAATGCGATATCTCCAAAGTAAATGGAATAAACTATTTCTATCAAGAAATGATTGTATATTCTACAGATCTCTGACTCTCTCTACGTCCCCTACAGTTATTGAGCCACATCCTTTCCCGAGCCTTCCTTGAACTTGCGGGAAAATTCTGTAAGATTGAATGAAAACTGAAACGTAGGTCATCTGAGCTTTCAACTGCTTATGTTGAGGAATTTCCCCCCGCAAAATACGTACGATGGATTGGATTATCCAAGTTTTCTTTTAATCCGACGATCGAATCCCCTTCCATTTTCATGAATGATAAGTTACTTAGATCTCGAAGATTAATGAATCATCTGCGATTTTACTTCGCGAGATCACCAAGATGGGTGTATGAGAAAGCCATTAGTTATTCGATTTCGCATTCCTCAAAATTTTCCTGTCGGCTTTTCTACGCCTGGTGCGTCGATGAAGGAGCTGAGTTCAGTCGCTTTGGCGCAAGACTATAGGACGGGTCCCGAAAGCTGTCTAAACACCAAGGCTGGCTATGGAACTACCTCTCAGGAAGAAAGGAAACAGTGATTGTAAACGTGTCCTTTTTCCTTACAATTACTCGCCTGGCCCATTCCTCTCCATCTGGGGTGACTTTAGCAGTTGAACGTCCAGAATTGTCGATAACAGCGAAAGTAATAACGGCTGTCACGGGCATAGCCTTAGGACCTTCCCCAGCGTATCGACAGACGCCGAAATCTTCCGAAATGGCCCCAAAAACGTCGGAGAAATATCGGTTCGCTGGCGGCACAGTTGGCGGGAGCTACGAAGTCCCGCCAATCATGGGCGACCTTCGTAGGCAAAGCTTGACCAAGTCGAAATCGATGGGTTGATCGATGCATTCACAACTGCTCCCCCGTCCAGTGCGGCATGAGCAATTTCTGTTTCTCCTGCTGCAATGCTCCTGAAATACCGACTTCATGTGATCGAAATGAAACATCCCTCAAGTACGAAGAATTCTGTCTTTTCTCCATGATTTGTAAACAATACCCCTGGTAGGAACCGTATTGATGTTACATGTGTCAAACCCGTAGAAAGCGCTAGAAAGGTCGCTGATTTAAAGTCAAAGTTGCCTCGTTCTGCAACGCATCCTGAACGGTTTCGGGATCCGAGGATCGACAAAGGTGATCCCCTGGTCGGAATATCATTTGGATTAACTTTTCTATCCTCTATCTCCATAAATTTGTCTCGGAAGCCAACTAGTCAGATTTTAAAACTTGAAGCACGCAGTATTTCCATTCCATCGCGGGAAAGAGTCGGAAAGCGAAATCTCTCAAAGCTCCAAATTCTTAGGGGAATGCGAGAAGATACGAGCATGGAGATCATCGAAACAATGAAAGAGATGAAAATAATATTTACCTTAGTACTGAGAGGTACGTGAGCCCATTTTCGAGGGAATCTATAGCTGAATCATGGGTTTCGCACATTAGTGAAGACATCAGAGAGACATTCCCCTGGAAAGAAGAGCCAAAACTAGAACCAGGCCAAAATTGATTAATTGTCTTCGTGACGGCTGAACGATCGAAACCCGCTGCCCCCGTGCAACCTTGAAGATTAGAAGTGGAAAGTTGATTGATTCAATCCTATTTCGCCGTGGATTCCGAAGATGCCACCTGGATCCTCACTTTGTCCTTTATTTTCACGATACAAACATATGGACGATTCTTGGTTCCACTCCATGCTGGTACCGTACATGATTAAATGCATTCTACAAGGCGTTGGGATGCTGGAGGCCGGAATTGTGACGAAGAAGAAAGAGGCGAACATCCTGATGAAGGATGTCGCGAACTTGATCTTCGGAGGGATCACCTACTGGCCCTTCGGGTTCGGCCTCCAGTCCGTCTCTGGGCCTGGAACGAATCCCGTCTTCGTGGGTTTCCTCTCGGATGGAGATGGACGTGGAGATATGGGTTTCGTCTTAGCCGAGTTCATTTTTCGGGACCATCTCCCCTACATTCACAAGTAGCACTTCTCCTACAAGAGGCTCCACCGGTTTCATGCACAAATTAGAGACGAACTCTAGGTGTTGACAGCTTTTCCCCCAATACCATTGGTAAATTATAAAGCCCTTAGCTACCGCAGACGACGACGGGTCATGATGAATGAATTCCCACCCTACTTTTTATTACAACTTGTCGTTCTGCGGTTTTTCACAAATCTTTTTTTTTTCGTTAGACGTCAGCTCCTGTGGGCGTTCAATATTGAAACAACTTTAACCTATAAGCTGAAATTGTTCCATGACTCATTACAGAACCTTTAAAGTAAAAGTCTCGTTTATTAGGCATACTGAAGTACACTAGATATACTGGACTACAGTGTCAAAGAAAAGAAAACGAGTGGTTTCACGAAAAGGAGTGATGACCAATTGAAGTAATAAACACTGAAGGTACACGATTATCTTTTCGCCATATAGCTTTCGATCAAAGCTGAAGTTACAATCGTCATTGACGGTTGTTGATTCATTAAATACTGAATAATTGCATCGCGAAAACTGACCTTTCATTTTATTATATTCTCGGAAACACCGGCAGGTGTCATTTGCAACGACGATCGCGTCTGGAGCAATGCTGAAAGGACCAAGTTCAATGCCTAATGTAACGCCTAATTCTTTCCTCGTCATCATCACCTACAGCGTCCCTGCTGGTAATTCTGGGATTGTGCACTCAGCACGAGGGGGTAGAAGTGGAGGAAAGGGATGCACGTGGCTAGGGCCTCCTTTAGGGCAGGTTGGGTGTGGAGCGATCATGGGGTTCGCGGATTTCGTTGGGTCGAGTGTCGTTCATCTTCTAGGTGAGTTCGCCATTCCTGTCTCTGGAATGCTGCTCAAGGCGCGAATCCAGAGGTTTCATTCTCCTCATTTCTCTGAATCCCTGAAAATGATGAACTTTAACAGGTTCAAATTTCCGCCTTCTCAATAAGGTTCGATGGTCTCCACGAGCTTCCCCCAGGAACTGGACTAACTACCCAAGTAACATATAAACGTTCGAGAGGACGCTCAACCAGTGTTCAATGAGATTCTTGGACGTTCAACATCTTGTACGGTGAGTGTCTATATTCCTGCTATGGAGATAAACGTTGTTGCGTTGGATTATTTTCCATTTTCGAACACATACTCATCTCCGGCGCAGAGATGGAACTGCCATCTGAGAAATATATCAGAGAGAGTTTTGCGCCTGAGAAAGGATTCTCACTCGCACGCAATCATTGGAATACTATCATTCCCAAACGAGGAAAGATGGCTCTTCAAATTATAATAATTTGGTTACGTGACCTAAGACCCTTTGTCACGGGAGCAGAGTTTATTTGGGATGAATGCTACTCTGATGAGAATATTCAATTCCTGTCCTTCATGAACGTTCAGGGTCGCATTTGAACCGTTTCTGATCGCTCTAAATTCGGAACATTTGAACAGTCAACAGAACGTTCCCAAGGACGTTCAGGGAAGGTTGGCTACACCCTTCATGACAAGTTCATTGAACATATATTGAAGGTTCCGGTGCTACTTGGGCACATCGTCGGCACTTTCACTCTATGGTAAGCCTTCAATAGAAACACGCCATTCTTTCCTTTTTGGATGGTTTGGATTTAAAAGCAACACAGGTAAGGTTATGTGGAGTTGAACTGCGGGTCCACGCTCGGGATCACTGGAGAGAAGTGGCATTTTGCGGGACGAGCCACGTCCACCGTGAATGCCTCCATCGGCGGGGGAGCCGCAGGACTCGCTTGCATGTACGTATTGAACGGAAATGCAAATGAAAAACGGGGAATCCTTGTGCCTTGCTGATCCCTGCTAAGGTGCGCCTGACTGTTCCGGGTTCGATCATGTTAATTTTGGGGATGAGTGTAATGTCGATCCTCATCGATTCTTCCTTGGGTACTTTCGAAGAAAGGGATTGTGGACTTCCGGCTGCGCTGCGGTTTCTGAGAGGCACGAACTGCTGGCAGTTAAAATGGGGACGGGTGGGGAGGACTGGGATCCATTCTTTCAGCGATGGGATGAAAGGGAAGGGAATTGGAGAGAGAAAATTGAATCGGATGAAATGCAATGAAAGAAGCATGATGAAATGAAAGGAGAGTGAAAAATGATATAGAACAAAATTCAATAGGGCCTGGGAGGCTCCTCCGTCTGCTTCAGCTGGGATCCCATTGAGATGGCTGGATCTGAAATTGATCGGAAAAAGTACCCAAGCATGAAGGTCGTCTGACAAATATAATATGAAGAGTACAATCTTGCCCTGAGTGTTATTGTGTAGGAAATGCCTTGGGCAAAATACACCCAATGGCGTAAATAGGGTGTCGGGGGGGGGGGGGGGGGGGGGGGGGGGGGGCTTTCAATCCCCCCCAAGTTTGGTTCGAGCCTCCAACTCTGCTCAAAATGCATCCGACACCAAAAAATGACCAATAGATAAGGCCAAGCCATCATTGGCCTTAAAAGAAAACCGAAAAACACATTTTTCCAGGCTTCCCATTAGAGAAAGGGGATGGAACTCTCAAGTAATGAGGCTTCTTCTTCTACCCAGCTGATCTTCGCGCCGACAATCCAATCAGCAAAGTATT